GAATCCCAAAGGCGGAGAGAATGAGAAGTGACGGGATTGGAAATGGGAGGCCTGTGTTTCGAAGATAACCAAAAAGATGATTAGTAGTGGATGTCGGTTTGATGAAAGAACCTTCCAGGGCCACCCAGTTTGGGGATTCAGAGCCAGCCTGATATTTGGAGAGTTGTCCGATTTGGGCAGCTTGGTAGTACTTGGCTAGGTTTGGGACTGGCAATCCCCTTGGGGCTTTGGATGATGAAGTGTTCGCGGTGGAATTCTAGGCTGCTTATCACACCATATTATTATTGTACAGGATTTATATAGCGCCAACAGTTTGCGCAGCGCTTTACAATATAAGGAAGACAATACATTTAGGGATGTCCCGATACCACTTTTTCAAGACCAAGTACAAAGTACTGTCCCTCATGTACTTGCCGATACCAATTACCGATACTTTTTCTTAAAAGGGACATGTGACATTTTTTCTAAAACAATTCTAATGATTTTAGGGAAGTTTCTCACCAGTGCTGCGTGCATTGGAGGTGACAGGGTCTCTTTAAGGTGACATTAGGGATCTTTTAGAACTCTAGTGTCACCTTTCTACTTCACTGGATTCACTGAATGTAAATACAGCAGGCAGTGGCTGGGAGCAATATCCAGCCTGCTATTGGATATTTTAAATTGCAATAGCCAATAGCAGGCTGGCTATTGTACCCGCCCACAATGGGCGGGTACGGATACAATGGGCGGATACAATAGCCAGCCTGCTATTGGCTATTGCAATTTAAAATATCCAATAACAGGCTGGCTATTGTTACAAGTGTCCATTCCTTTTCCACTTGATGAAACTGTTTGCTTTTGGTGATACATCTCAGTGTCAGCTGTCCATGCTCCTTATGTGTTTAATAATGCCCTCACCAGACATACACAGAAGTTTTCCCTCTCAATGAAAGAGAGAGAAGGTCCATTCTGTGTGAAGGCAAGATTTACAGCTTCTCTCCTCTCCTCCCCCGTGAGCACACTGAACGGACATTCTCTTCTTTCAATGAGAGAAAAAACGGCTGTGTACGTCCGGTGAATGCTCCTTATGAGCACGGAAATCTCACACATTGTGATATATCACCAAAAGGAAACCGCTTCATGAAGTGGAAAAGGAGGGGACACGGAGGAGCAGCA